ATACTGTGATGAATTCTTTGCATATATTATCTCATTTAATAAATAACCTTAAAAGGTAGGGACTACAACTATTCCTACATAAACTGAAGGACATAGATAATTTAAGGAGTGGCAGAGGTAAGTTTGAACCCAGAACCTAGAACCAAGGCAAGTGGAAGGAAAGGAAAGTGGTTGAGAAAGATCACAAAAATATTAACTCCCACTGTAAAAAGGCATACTGTTTACTGATAGTAGCAGAGAGCTCCTCCTATCCTGGAATAGCAGTTTTCAATCCTGACTACACATTAGAATCACCTGTGGGATTTTTTTTTTCCCTCCCTGTTTGGGAGTGGAATCCTCACTCAAGAAATCTGGGCTTCAATTGGCTTGGGGAGGGGCAAAGACATGAATATTTTTTTTAAATCTCCCAAGTGGTTCTAATGAGCAGATAAAGATGGAAAAAATCCCTAGTACTGTTAATTCTTCACTACTCTGTTAACCTCAAGTAGCCAACTGCAAACAAACTTACTCATCACCTATTTGGTTCTTAGCAGTTTGCCTATATTTTCCATTTATGCAACAAAGTGCTTAATTTTCTTCTCCAACACAGGAAATATGACAGCTATAACTGATTTATCTATTTATTTTTGTGGTGCTAGGGATCAGACCTAGGGCCTGCTAATAAGCAAGCTACCGAGCTACATCAACAGCCCTAGTTTGAACCTTTAAAAATAAAATGTTGCCAGCTTTTCTTTGACATAGTAACTACAGGGGAAAGGACAGATAGGATGAAAAAGTTTGGAAATCCCTTCTTTAAGTACCTACATACACCTCAGTTTTTAAAAAGCCAAAAAAGTCCTCAGAGTCAAACTAAATTAAAAACTAAATGACAAGTTATGATACTAAAAACGTTGACACATACAAAAAAACTATGATATTTGTTTATATTTCTTAATTAGGCTGGTGACACTCAAAACAGTCACTTATTGTGGTAATAAGTTCCACTGTCTTGTCAACCTGCTGTGACAATGATTATGCAGTGTTTTTACCCAGTTATATCACCTGAATACTGTATAAACTAACAGGTGCTAAAGAAATCAAAGCATTACATAAGCATGCCCAAACAATATGGCTGGTCATAGAATGTACTAAGAAATGCAAGGATTTTGCTATCTTATATGAGAAATCTTACTGTTTCACTAAGTTATTCAAAGCACATGCCACTCATTCTGTACCAAAATATGATGAAAACTGTTTCAGACACTCAGACTTGCTGAAGCTTTTATATTATTGAAATGGCGAAGTACAGAGATACATGTATGTAAGTCTGATCTATGATTCAAACAAGAGATCTAAAATGAAAGAGTACCAATACTTCAAGTTATACAAAACTTTGGACTTCTCAGAAAACCATTACAAAACTTCCCGTTTCTGGACAGCTTATTATTTGGTTCAAGTCTTCACGTTCCTTTATTATTCATGACCTTTCAGAAAGCTTTCATTTTTTATTGTTTGGATAATACTGGGCTTTTGACATTGCCATTAGGAATACAAGAACCCTTATCAAACGAAGAAGCCAACACAGAGTTCAAGCTCCAAGGAAAGACTTAAATTACAGAGACTGTAGATTTTTTTTAAAATTCGTAAGCATATATATCTTTGTGCCCATCCTAAATTTATGTTCATCTGTATGTTTCCATCATATACAATTCACGGGAACTTGCGTTAGTTCCGCAGATATTAGCTGTTAAGAAACTGGAAGATCGGTGGGTGTGTGTGAAATATAGACACACGATAGTGAAACTCACTACCGACTGTCACTAGGGTCTTACACGGTCCAGGTCTGGTCTAAACCCTATCTCACTAGGCTCTAAGGCAGAGGACCACAGGGTAACCCGACGAGGTCATGAGTAAGTGCACTTCCACACCAAGCAGAAGAGCAGACTCTAAAGAAAAACCTTCCCTCCTAGGATGAGGCACATCGTCCAGGCCTGTGGGGCCTGCTAAGAGGGGTGTGTAGGAGGAGCTGGGACAGGATCGGCCCCCTCTTTGGAGACCTAAACATGAGAGAACAGGCGGGTTCTCAGCTCCCGGTGGGTGGTCTGCTCTTCCCGAAGGCCCAGACACCAGGCCGACCCGGGGAGGGGCTCCTGACCGGCCCGCACCCCGGCCCCCACCATCCCGGGGCCTGCCTTACACGGTGACGTGACCCGAGCCGCGGACCACCACCGGGTCCGGCGAGTACTTGAGCAGCTGCTCCTCCAGGGCCCGCTCCTCGTCCTCCTCCTCCTCGTAGATCTCGTCGAAATCCGCCATTCTGCGCCCGTAGCCCCTTGCCCAGGGCCTGACTCCAAGGGCTGGCGCCAGGCACCGGCTTGGCGAGGCGGCGGCGGCTCCGAGGCCACGGAGTTCGCTCTCGGCTGCCTCGGCAGCCTGGACTCCCTGGGCTCTGGCTACTGAGGAAGGGTCCGGCTCGTCGCCGCCGCCATTACCATCGGCAATAACAACAACACAATGTCAACATCCGCCCAGGGGCCGGCACCTCCACCAGCGCAGCCCTCGCCGCCGCCGCCGCAGCAACTCAGGCAACCACAGCAACACCCCGAGCCACCCGCTGCGGGAGCAGCTACGGCATCGCGAGACTTCCCGGGAGGGAGGGCGGGCGGGCGCGTGCGTGGGAGGACGAGCGGGCGCGCGGGCGCACGTGCGACCTCGCGCGCTCCCGGACCGCCGTCCTTCTTCCGTTTCTCTCCATCGATGGGGATTTGGTGTGCCATCCCGCTCGGGGAGGGCGGCGGCCCTGGAGGGTTGGAGGCGGTGACCCCAGGCCCCAAAAACCAAGCTGAGAGTATACGGTAGGACGTAAAGTTCTCCCAAAATAATCTCTAACCCAAACAAACAACTGAAAACAAAAGCCCTGGCCGGAATCAATAGAGAATCGTTGTGCATGGGATTGCCAGTTTATCTAATAACCTAATCTTGGTTTTAGTCTGTGATGAGAACCGGAGGCTGTACTTTCCCAACTTGAGACCAACAAGACACACTGCAGACATTCCTGTCTACTGTACTACAGGATTTTCCAAAACATCTCCAAATTCAAACATCTTCCTTTAACTCCTGAAACGTGGTCCAATATGTGAGGCAAGTGATGCTGGTATTTTTTTTTTCCTTATAAGAAATCTCGCCCACAATGCTATAAAACAAAATTGATAAATTCTCTAGATTCCTGAATAGAAGAAGCAGTTTCTTGCCCAAATTGCCTCATCAAATCTAATCTATTTTATTCCATTAAAACCTTGGAGAACCTTTCTTACCAGTTTCTTCCACACAGAAAAAGATGGAAAAGAAATAGAAAAGAGGGAATGAAGAATAGAAGACAGTTGTCTTAAGGGATTCTGCTTATATGCCTAATAAAGACCTAAGGGTCATCTTGGGTACTTGGTTTTATAGTCAAGAACCTGCGCAGGCCTACAAACAGAGCAAGGCAGGCTTGGGCTCTGAGGAGAGAGCTCTGGGTAGTGAAGACCTGCTCTATGGAAGGAAAGGATAGTCCTGCTGGACCAGCGTCAGTCAGGTAGTCTCCAAGTACAGTGTTCACATCTTCAAAGATCATTTTACATGGATCTTCCTCACGTAAGAAGTTGTGGTGAGTAAGAAATAGAAAAAGTGCAAAGGAGGCCAATGAGAACAGTGAGAAATGCCAGACTACCTTCTGTTGGAAGTGGTTGAAGAAGATGGGCACACTTAACCAAGAAAAGAAGGAAAAATATAGTAAATGTATTTGATATGTTGTATACTTCTCCAGAGGTATTTATTCCTTCAGGACATATTTACTGAGTTCCATCTACGTGGCAGGCATTGAACGTGTGTGTGTGTGTGTGTGTGTGTGTGTGTAAATGAAGTACAGTCTCTGCCTCCCAGCAACTCACCTATCCTTAAGGTAAGTGGTTGTAATTTTCAGTCAAGTGCTCAAAGGGTATACCTTGTAAGGATGCAGTATACAGGAGGATGCTTTGTTGATTAATGGTGGTTTCTGGAATGTGACTGCCTTTGAATCTCAGCTCTGCCCCTTACTATGTGACTCTTTTTCTTCCTCAAACGTAAAAGGAAAATAATAATAGTACACACCCCACTGGACTATGCAGCAGATTAAATGTCTTAATATCTATATGCTTAGAAGAGGGCATAGCATACAGTAAATGTAGAGACAGTAGGTGATCTTAAGGTCTCATCTACCTCATCTGTGAGGATCATCCCAGTTTTTTGTATTATGTAATATTTTGTTTACAAAATACATAATGTATCATTTAATATTCCTCCTAGAGCTTAGTAACATAAGCCAGAGGATGTAACTTAGTCCTTAGTTTCAGAGATGCCATATGACTCTTGCATGCCAACATGGCTACTAATGGTCATCAACTCCAACACACTGCATAGAACAAGCTCCTGAATTTCCTTCTTGGCAGGAACCAGGAGGACAGTGGCTGTACTCAAAGGAGTGGCTGCAAACAGAAGGGGAAAAGAGGACAAGAGGGAGGAAGTTCAGCCTGTTCCCAGCATGGCCCACGCCTGGTGTGCTGTGGCTAAAAATGCTCCTTTCTATAGAAATAGTGGCCAAGATAAAGGGCTGGTGCCCGGAAGTCTCTTTTTTCTTTTTTCTTTTTTTTTTGCCCAGAAGTATCTTAATCATCCTGTAGCCGACAACTTCCCTAGGGCAAGGGAAGCCACACACAGCTCCTTAAACCTCCAGAACCTTCCACAGTTCCTACTTAAGAGAAGTAGTTCCATGAATTTAGCTATATCATTACTGGCGATATTTCCAGAACACTGTGAGTTCAGTAGGTTCTAGAGGACTGTGAGAACTTCACCCTTATCTCAACATGGGTTCCATGTGGGAGGAATGTTCTCATTCTAAGATCATTTACAGGTCTTTGTAACTCCCACTCCCTGTATGTATGTAAGTATGTATGTATGTGTGTATGTATTTTGTGGCTCTTTCTCCTGTTTTCTAAAACGTATCAGTGCCAAAAAAAAAAGGGTGTGGGACCTGGGAATGAGGCCAAAAGGGTGAGGGAAGATGAGTCAAAGATTTCCCTGTAAAACTTGACATCATAATTCCAAGCTCCACCCCCAGCCTTCCAGGGATCAGTTTCCTGTGAAACTCCTTCCCCCAATCTCTATAGGAATAAACCATGTTTTTCAGTACCTTTTCCCTCCACATTCAGGAGCAATCCTGTGCCCAACTAAGAATCCCCATAAACACTCCTCTCCATTTGAGTTTCCCTTCACACTCCAGCCTCACATGGTTTTACATTCACCTCCAGACCAAATGGCTCAGACCTGGAGGATAATACCTCAAGGATCTCATGAAGCAGCAATTTTTCAGGTGCTTTTAAGGCAATTGTTCCTAGATCTTTAAACCTCCAAGTTCCGTCACTATGAAGCTGGCTGGCCTCGGGCAGATTCAACTTTCTAAGCTGCATTTTCTTCATCCTCAAGTGGAACTTATGTCATAGGGTTGTCAATCAAGGATCAAATGAGATAACACATGTGCTATGAACTGAGCTGTATCTTTCCCCAGATTCATATGTTGAAGACCTAATCCTCAATATGATGTCCCTTGGAGCTGGGGCCTTTGGAAGCTAATTAGGTTTAGATGAGATCTTTATGGTGAGGTCCTCAGGATGAGATTGTACTCTTACAAGAGACAGCGAAGAGCTTGCTGTCTGTCTTGCTTTCTTTGCCATGAGAGATAGCAACAAGATGGCTACTACAAGCCAAGAAAAGTCCTTGTCACAAACCAAATTGGCCAGATCTTGGTGTTTGATGTGCGAGTCTCCAGAACTAGGAGAAGAAATAAATGTCTGTTGTTTTAGCCACCCGGACTACAATGGAATGAATGTTTATGTACCAAAAATAAAACAAATTTTGTATGTTGTAATCCAAACTCTCAAGGTGATGGTAGTAGGAGGTGGGTCTTTGACAGGTGATTAAGACGTGAGAATACAGCCTTCATGAATGAGATTAATGTCCTTTTGAAAGAAGCCCCAGAGAGCTCATTTGTCCCTTTCACCATGTAAGGACACAGAAGACAGTTGTCTGTGAATAAGGAAGTGGGCCCTTGCCAGACACCAGATCTGCCCCTTGATCTTGGACTTCCTAGCCTCCGGAACTTTAAGAAATAAATGTTTGTTAATAAATAAATGTTTGATAAGCTATCCAGTCTATTTTGTTGCAGCTGCCTGAACAGACTAAGACACAATCTATGTTATTTTGTAATGGCAGCCCAAACTGTCTAGGACAGCATATAAACTCCAATTTGCTCCCTCATTTATTCATTAAACAAATATGCTCTGAATGATTCCCATGTTCCAGAAACCAGAGATTTAACACTAAGGTCGTAAACAAAACACAGGCCCTGCCTTCATGGAGCATAAAGTCCACTGAGGAGAAATGACAGGTACTTATAAAAATATATAACTATTGGGGACGGGCATTTAGCTGAGTGGTTTCGCTACCTGCTGCGCAAATGCAAGGACCCAAGTTCAATCTATCTATTTATCTATCTATCTATCTATCTATCTATCCATCTATCTATCTAAACTATTGGATGAGTGATCCATCCTGTGGAAAAGTACAGGCGACCATGACAGTAGTACATAGATTTAACTTGCTGTGAGAATTCAGAATTTCTTTTCAGAGGAAAACACATGTAAGCTGAGGAGCTAAGCAAAGTATGCAGTGGAGAAGAAGACAGAAGAGAGGACAAAGTTCCAGACAGTAGAGACAGTTTATTTATAGCCTCTGAGGCAGAAAAGAAGATGGTTCGAATGAGGCAGAAACTGAAGCCAGTGTGGTTGGATCATAGAGGGGAAGGAGCCACATTTGAGTTGGGGTCGGAGAAGTTGATGGCCTTTGTAAGAAGCCTGAAACTCATTCCAAAAGTAAAGATGATGAAGACGTGAAGCCAGGAAGTGACTCCACTAGAGGCCTTTTATGATCCCCAAGTAGGGACCCTACAGACCAGCCTGCTGTTATGTAGCATCCTCCCTGCTTCTGGCTACAGCACTAATCTGCGTCACCACGCCACGATCAACCCCTGCATCAGCTCTACCCAATTTTCAGGTCATGTGTCTGGGTTAAGATGATCATATCCCCAAGTCCATTCATGGACAAATGACCTAAAATTTGCAGAATGTGCTCCAACCTTTGGTGTTCAAATGGAAAATAGCACTGCTGCTCCAGTGCCTCGGATTAAGGAAAGGCATGTACAATACCACTGTGCAAAAGCCATTGGGGAGCAATAGAGATGCTCTTCGGCTTCCACACAACTGCAGGGACAGTGCAGGAAGATGATCTAAACTAGACTGGGAGCTTCCCAAGGCAAAACAAATAAAATGCTTACATGCACATACAGCATCTCAGAAAACGTTCTAAGCACTCTGTACATATGAACCCATTTAACCCTACAAACACCCCTACAGCATAAGTATCATTTTCATTCCTATTTTATATGTTATGCAAACTGAAAGTCAAGGAAGTTAGGTGCCTTGGCCCAAGGCTACACAATTAGGAAGTGGTAAAATCAAGACTCCAACTTAAACAGTATGTTTCTTCACCACTACACTAAGTGATCTTAAACCAGGG